CTCTCTCTCTCTCTCTCTCTCTCTCTCTCTCTCTCTCTCTCTCTCACACACACACACACACACACACACACACACACACACACGTCCTCTCAAAGGGTCTTCATCCCCCTGCTCTGTAAGGATCCACGGAACAAACCAGAAGAGCCACTGTCATGGAGTACTGAGGAGCAGAGGTCTGAACTGTTTGTCCATCCTCCAGGCTACAGTGCCAGAAACTGAGGCTCCTGCAATCACGATGGGATGATTTTGGCCAGGTAGAGTATGATCTTGATGAAGACTGTGCTGATGCTCAATCAGAGATACTCACCTGCTGTAAATTACTTCCTTTGGAGGGTAGGGACTTTAAAAGCTAAGAGATTCAAGGAATTCTGCCTTTACAGTCTGAATTAGGATTAGAAATGACTTTTGTTAAAAAGAATGTGTTAAACACCTTGGTCAGTGTAGCTCTCCCTCAGGGTGCTACAGAGGGAGGTTTGGATCAGGAATTCCCAACTTTTAGCATTCCATTCCTAACATGGAGCTGGAAGGGTGCATGGATGACTACGGGACTCTTCCTCCTCTTTTCTTCTTGGTAAAACTACCCACCTGGCTAACGTTTGCTCATGGTCTTCCTTTTCCTGTAATAAAAACATAAAAACCTCTATCACGAAATACTTTCGGATTCACTTTGCCATCCATGGAGCAATCACTTGGCTCTGCATATTGCTTTGTTTCAATATGACAGGTAAAAAATTTGAACCGAAGTCAGACAACTGGCTCAGTGAAGGCTTGCGCTGGAATCTAGACCTTCTCATTCCTACCGGCTTAGTCAGCATCCTATCCTATTTACTTTGTATTTATCACCAACTTCCGGCTGCAAACATTTTGGCCCGGGAGCTACAAAAGACATTGATAAGCCCAGCTGTCTCTGTGCAGGAAAAATGGCAGGTCATTTCTGTTAGTTCCGTATGGCTTTAGTTTACTCATCCAGCAAAGAGCAGTTACCACCTTCGTAGGTCCATTACTGTGTTTAATTAGCACCCAACAATTAATATGACCAAGGGAGAATTTGCTTCTCATTCCCCACCAGATCTGCTTCTTCTCCAATCTCCCAATCTCTCTGGAAAACAGTTCACTTAACTATTCAGAGTGAAACCCAAGAGCCATATTTAATTCTTTCCTTCCTCTTATACCACATCCAGTCTTTCAGCTCTTCCTCCAAGATGTGTCCCAAGGCATCCACCTCACCAACCTCATCTTGAGGCAAGACAGGTCAATACTCTTCAAGTCGGTCTCCCTTGTGTTTGGCCATTTGGTGACTATCATGTCTTTTCATACCCTTATAAGGACATATCTTTGGCTTACCCATAAAATCCAGACTCCTGACAGTGGGTGGCTACCTTTGTCTTCCTTGACCATTTCCTGCCTTCTTATTCGTCTCCATATCACTGACCTCCATCGCTGAGTTCTAGGTGCTGGCCCGCTTTCTGTTCCTTTAACACTTCTACCCTGATTCCTACTTTGGCGTCTTTGTACAATGTGCTCCATCTGTCCCCAAACCTTAGGCAGAGGTCTCCTCATGACCCTACTTTAAACTGACCCTCTCCTAACTCATCACTTCCCCCACTCTTTTGTTTTCTTCGCATTTATCACTTCTTACTTTATATTGGTCATTTTTTTTCTTGCTTATTTTGTTTCTTCCGATAAATCTGTTGCTGGTTTCTTTTCTCCTGCTGCTCTGTGAGGTAGGACAGGACCTCTGCCTAGCAACAAGTCAGTCCGTGTTTGCTGGCGGACACAGGAAGGCTGCATCATAAACAGCTGCTTTGCTTCCAGCTACATGAGAAGGGTTGTTTCAGCCTTATCTTTGATTCAAGTTAGAGTGCAAAAAATCTCTGTGGTATGCCTCGAGTTGTCTTTCCGAAACGTCAAGTGTATTCATCTTACGAAGTCTAATAGTTTGTCCTCTTTTGTTTGTGCATTTTGCGTATGGCTCCATAGTAATGAGCGAGCTCTGTGTCAGTCCCCAGGAGCAGCTGATGATGCCCACACCTGTATACATCTGCCCCAAGGCCTTTCCGGTTACAGATTTCTGCAATGATGAAAGAAAACCCATCCCCCGTAGAACACATTGTGTCTGCAGCCTAAGCTCAAGACTTGGATTTATTCTCCCAGCTTCCTGTAAGCATTCTGGTCACATGGCACTTTTATTGGCCTAGTTTTTTTATTCTGGTTCCTAACCCAAGTAATCTGGCATGGACTCTCTAGGGACAGATCAAGGACAATTGAAGTTATAACTGCTGACAGACTTATGCTTGAGGTGGGAGTTTCCTCCTTAATAAAAAAAAAAATCTACAGAGATGACAGATAAGAGACTCCAGGCTCAAATTAGAATTTGAAAAACTAATGGACCAAGCAGAGTCGATGTAGAGTGCCTAGGTGGAGAGATGGCAAGGGGTTCCAGAATTGTTGGTGAAAGAACTGAGGATCTAGCCTAGTTAATACTGGTAGAGTGTTTTCCTACCATGCTTGAATCTCTGGGTTTAACTCCTAGACAATAAAACTGGGCATGGTAGTGCATGCCTCCAGCATTTGGAAGGTGGAGGCAGGGGGATCGAAAGTTCAAAACTGTCCTCAGTAACATTGTGAATTTGAGGCCAACCAGGATGCATAAAACCCTGTCTCAAGCAAAACTAAAGGAAAGCAACAACAACAACGAAAGAATTGAGTGAGGGGAAGACCTTGTGAGGCCCACAGAGCACTGGAATTCAGACTTTACCCACAGTGAGTTGGACACTCCTTGAGTGACAATGTGAGCAGAATTAAGACGGGACTTTTCTGAGTCCCTCTGTTTCTCAGTCATATGTCATAGAGCAAGTTCTTTAGTCACTTCTTGCTTGGGACTGACTTCTTACCTGGTGCAAAACACGGGGAGAGCTTGAGGATTTTTATTTTCAGTCCCCCACAGTTTTATCAGTGACTGTCCATCAGAATATCCCTATAAGTATTCCTTAAGTAATCAGGCACAGTTGAATTTGTAGGGGGTGCGTGGTTTTGGTTGTTGATCTGGGTCGTCTTTGGGCGGCTTTTCGTCTGTCTTGTGTGAATTATCACGACTCCTACGTGGCCTCATGATGGGCTAAGATGGAGACCCAGTGAGATCACTGTATGGAATTAAGTTGTGGTTGGTGTGATTGAAATTGGATAAGTAACCAGGTAGAGCATCTTTTTGGATTCAAAAGAGAATGGCTTCCCATAGCTTGAAGGCTTCTGCCTGATCGTAAGGTAGTGTTCACCAAGTGCTGAAGAACTAAACAACTAGGCTGTGTTAGGAGAATCCAGGTCTTCTGAGATTGAAGTCTGCATGTCGAGGCCTACTGTTTCCTCCAGGAGGTTGGTTTATGTTAGCACCAGGCTGCTCTGCCTAGTGCTAAGGTTACCTTCTCAGCAGTCAAGTTTATTAGGCTACTGGATTGCTGAGTGTTTAGTCGGAAGCATCACCCCAGCTCCCTAACATCCCTTTATACAAAGAATCTGGAATATTATAGTCAGGGGGCCTCATCCCAGCCCCTGGCATCCATCTTTGGAATACCGTGCAGGAACTCCATTTCAAACCCCTCCGCTGGGAGTTGCCTTAGTCCAAACTCCCCTTCTGAGAAAGCTCGCCAAATGGTGATCCCTCCCCAGGGAGGGTCAAGACCACTCCCATAGGCTATTTAAACTGCCCCCCAGAGAATGAACACATGGTCTTCCCCACCTCTCTTCCCCTCGCCATGCTTTCCCAGTGCCACCAGGGAGCATTGCATTAAACATGGGCATCTTTTATTCAATTTAATTTGGTCTGATTGGAATTATTTGTGTAGGCGGAAAGGCTCATCTAAGACATATTCCTAACACTGCGGTGATCTCTCAGAGCACCTGAGGCACCTGTATAGGGAGTTAGAGCGGACCCCAAAGTGGGCTGTGCTTAATTTCCAAGAACAGGTTTGGATACATCAGAAATAAGTGATCTCTCCAAACAGAAGCAAACTGGTAGTAGGTTTCATTTAGAAAACAGTCAAATAAGTAAAAAGCCAATCTCAGACTTCTTACTTGCCCTGAAAGAGGCTGTCTGTTTTGTGATATTTGAACTTTTTTTAGGGAAATTGACAAGGGCTCGCTTGCTGACTTCTTCTGTGCTGGGATGATGAGTAAAAGCTGATGGGAGAAGTGTGGACAGACAGCAGTGACGTCAGAGGAAGGAGAGGAATGGCAGGTCTTGGCAGCCATTCCCCTGTGTGAACTACTCGCCTTTTAAAACTGACGCTGGAGATTTTGAAAAAAAAAAAAAAGAAAAGAAAAAAAAACAGAAATATTAAATAGAATGATATTATTGGGCCTCGG